CACCGTTGAAGGCCTAGGATAGCTAATCCTTACTCAATGTAATCTAGCTCATAAAAAGATTTGGAAAGAATAAAATGTATAATCGAATTGAAAGAAAAAGAATGGTTACCAAATAGCAAGATGGACAAAGTGATCATATGTAGTAGTAAAAATAGAAGAATAAGATACTATATGAATAGTAACTAATATTACAAAATAGGAGAAGATGGGAATGTGAGACTACCCCTGCCTATCTCATATTAATGTGCTACAACTAGACTACGTCAAACTGCCCTTTTGCTCTAATAATTCTCGACCTTCATACTTTAATTATCTAGAGTTTTGTCTTCTATATAAGTTGGAAATGTGTTCTATATACTGTCTAATCACCTTCCTTCGGTTCTTTTTTGGCTTGCCCTTACCTCTCTTAAAATTTATTATAGTCTACCCCGCATACCTCCTGACTAGGGTCTGTACACTTTCTATTGTTCAAACCATCTTAGTTTCGTTATCCTCAACTTGTCCGTCACATAAACCATTCTCACCTTGTCCTATAAAACCTCATTCTTAATCTTATCTCTCCTAATATGTCCTCATCTGCGATACCTTCATTAATTGGTCATCAATCTGCCGCATATAACAAAGTCGGTCTAACCACCAATTTATTGGTATACTTAGTACTTACCTTGGTCACACATTATCATACCACACTACCCTGAACACAAGCCTCCATTTAGCTTACCCTTATTTACATTATTGTCAGTCTCCTATTTCCTTGAATTATAAATCCAAAATACTTGAATCATTGTTGCTTTAAAAAGTAGTAAAGAGTTTTAATTATTGCTTTTAGACTTCAATGGGATTTTTTTTAAGGTTTTTTTTTTTTTTTTTCATATTGAGGATTTGGAAAATAAGACTAATTAAGATAACTATCCAGCATATGCAATCACAATTCACACGGAGTATGCTGTATGCAATTGTTGGCACCTTAGCTAGCTAGTTGTCTTATAGACTAGGTAAATATAGTACTATCTCAAGTTCGAATATATTTATCCTAAGTTGACTATATTTTTTATGGATAAGGAGCTTATAAATAATATGTGGTACTCATATTGATTATTTAGGGTCTATAGGGAATTATAGGCTACTAGGTATTTTGGAAGCTATTGTTGATTTTAAGAAAGATCACACAAGGCTAATAACATGCATTGAATTAAACACATGTTGAAGTATTTACAACTTTAGCTTGTTGAAAATTCAGAACCCAAACAAAAGTGGACTTTAGGATGATAAAACGTAGCAGTTGTCCTAACTACCTATGTGGCTTTGAATTTACATCTATGTACTGAACTTAGCTTTTATACCCTTCACCCTCTCAATTAAAATGAAATCTTTCGCATTTCTTGAGTCAAACAAACTTCTTTTTTAATTAATTTAACCACAACTTATTTATACTATTTTTCAAAATAATTTAAATTATTAATTATTGTAATTATAATTTTTTATATGATAGTAACAAATATATATATATAAAGATAGAGGTAAATATAAGTAAAATTTTATTATAATTATATTAATTTGATATGTATTTCTCTAACTAATGATGTCAAAATTGTATTATAATTATTTGAAATGTTTCCACAATTCTTTTGATAAATTTGTCCATTTCATAGGGTTTAAACTTTATAAGTTCAAAATTAAGGAACATATCATCAATCATGAGGTTCAAACATTTGCAAGAGTTTTAAAATTCAAAATTATACAACATATCATGAGGTTCAAATATAAAATTTATCCATTTTTCATATTTTAAGTAGGGTTATTTTTATCTGAATTTTCTTTTGTATTAAAATATAGTTATTTTTCTACCATACTTTTCAAGTGGTGACTAAAAACTCGCAGTTTTTTTTATTTTTTATGAGTAATGTAGAGTGAAAATACTTTTATATTATTTTTCAAATTTTTGAAAATTTTGATACTCAACTTCACATTGAAGCTCGAAATTTTATGATCAAATATATTTTTCATTAATTGCCTCCTAAAACGGGCCATCCTGCCTAATTCTTACACAATTCTAATGAATTGGCCCACGGGTATCGATTCGGCCCAACCCAATGCAAGTAGCAAAGACTTGTTCTTTCCGTACCTCCTACATGGTTGATCTTTGAGCTTGAAAATTGAAGCTCTTTCTCCGGCTGAACTCCGATCATGGCTGACAATCAGCAGCACCACCGCCATCACCGCCCCAACCGTCTTTCTCTACCGCCGCGCACCGCCGTACCTATCACCACCTCTACCCCTACTACCACAAGAACCCCTTACCCTTCTTTCAACTACCCTCCTTCCACTCCAACACCAACTCCATCCAAACACAGAGTTTCCTATCTCCCCACCAAATCTTCTCCGGCTAAAACCTCTTCTTTGCCATTTCTCTTCCTTCTCCTCTTCTCTCTCCGCTCTTTTTACTCTCTCCTCCCTTTCCTTCAATCTTCCCCTTCCTCTTTCTCTCTTTTCCCCTTCTCTTTCCTTGTTTCTCTCCTTTCCTTCCTTCTCACTTTCTCTTTCTCCTTCTCCTTTTTCAGTTCTTCCTCTTCCAGTAGAGACCCTTTTTATCAGAAGAATCGTCATGGGTTTTTCTCCTTCACCCGATCTCAGTACAAGCCTCTACTAGCTAAATCGTTTCTTCTTGCTATAGTCTTTCTTCTCCGATTTCAAGCCCTTCGGTATTGCGGAGCTGCCGCTATGATTCTCGCGGAGATTTCTGGAAATATTGCTTCCCGGTTCATTTCTGAAGGAAAAAGTCGCGATCTTTTTGACCGGAATCGGATTAGATCGTATGAGGTTTGTGGGTTTATCTCTATGTTTATTGGGTTAGTACTGTTATCTATTAGTTGGGATAAAATTGAATGTTTCCCTTTATCTTCTGTGAATGTGTATGAACTGGGGTTTTCATTGCTTCCGAGGTATAGTTGTGTTAGGATTTGGCCAATGTTGCTTCCGTTTCTTTCGGGTTTTTTGGGGTGTTACGAGAGTAGTTCCATGAATTGGGGCAGTTTGAGGGAAATGGGTAAGAAGCAGCTTCGATTGGTCTCGTTGTTTTTTACAACTGTAATACTGTTTGTACCAGCTGTTATAAGTATGTTTGTATTTGAAGCAGAGGGGGATAGTATTTCTATATACAATCTTGGTTGGCCTTTAGTGAACACAGTAGTGTTTGGTGTGCTATTGAGTGAGAATTTTACTGCTGAGAAGCCAGTTTCTTCTAAGGACTTACAAAAGGAGTATCTTGTAACATATATATGTACAGTTATATTGGAATTGTTTTATTTTCCTGAGCTTTCACTTTGGGGATTGTTGATATGTGGATTGTTGCTCTGGGTTTCTGTAAGGAATTTGAATCCTGTTGACCCTAATTATCTTGAGTTGGGGTTGGAAACATCGGATTGGTTTACGACTTCAGTTATGAAACCTCTCCGGCATATCTTGGGTGAGAGGAAGTCACGCAAGATTGCGCTTTTCCTTTTGATCAATACAGCTTACATGGTTGTGGAATTTGCTGCTGGTTTTATGAGTAATAGCCTTGGGTTGATATCAGATGCTTGTCACATGCTGTTTGATTGTGCAGCTCTAGCTATTGGATTATATGCGTCTTACATATCACGGTTGCCAGCAAATGGTCAGTTTAACTACGGCCGTGGAAGATTTGAGGTTCTTTCTGGGTATACAAATGCTGTTCTTTTGGTCCTTGTGGGAGCGTTAATTGTACTTGAATCATTTGAGAGGATATTAGACCCTCAAGAGGTTTCCACTAACAGTCTATTGTCAGTGTCTATTGGAGGGCTGCTTGTTAATATTGTGGGTTTGATCTTCTTTCACGAGGAACATCATCATGCCCATGGTGGATCATGTTCACATTCCCATTCTCATTCTCATTCCAAGTCTGATACAGATTGCCACAGTAACGAACATCACCATGATCATCATGTTCACCAGACAAAGACAGAATTCTCCACAACTTCTCATTCCCATTCCCATTCCCACTCTCCTTCCACATGCCATGATCACCATATTCATGATCATGATCATGGTGGTCACCATATACAACAGGAACAAATCAGTATTGTCCATGAATGCCATGAATCATGTTCTAGTCATGTTGGTCATGGACATAATGCTGACTATAAAAACCAGAGCAAGAAAGAAAAAGAATGGAATGAAAATAACACTCCTCATTCTCATGATCACTCCCATGACCATAATCATGGACACCATCATCATGGTGATGCTGACCAACATTGTCATGGTGTCACCTCAAGTAGTTCTTTGATTAAGGTGCACGATGGCTCTGTTGCAAGTTTTCAAGGACCAGATTGTTCTCATGGTCATAAACATGTTACTACAGACAAGGGTGTCACGGAGAAACATCACCACCAACACCGCCACATTGATCATAACATGGAAGGCATCTTTTTGCATGTTCTGGCTGACACCTTGGGCAGTGTTGGGGTGGTAATTTCAACGCTCTTAATCAAGTACAAGGGATGGCTTGTTGCTGATCCTGCCTGCTCAATTTTTATCTCTGTACTGATTATATCTTCAGTAATCCCATTGCTCAGGAATTCAGCAGAAATTTTACTGCAAAGAGTTCCAAGGGCGCATGAACATGATTTGAAGGAAGCTGTAAACGATGTTATGAAAATAAAAGGTCTTTCTGGGATTCAAAAGCTGCATGTTTGGAGCTTCACGAACGCAGATGTTATTGGAACTCTCCATCTTCTCGTCTCAAGCGAGAATGACAAGTCATCTGCAAAGACGCAAGTATCTGAAATATTTCATCATGCTGGGGTCAAGGATTTGACAATGCAAGTAGAATGCATCCAAAGTAGTTAGTCTAATAGGAGGCTTTGACCAATTACTAGAAGTGCTCAGTGTTCGCTTCAACTGTATCAAATGGAGATCCCTTGAGACCTGAAGTGATGTACAGTGGGTTGAGTAAGTGATAGTTTTTTTTTTTTAAAAAAAAATAACTTTAAAGTTTCCCAAGGTATATTCAATTTCTGTTCCGGACCCCCTTTATAGAGTTTGAGACCAGTTGAAGACTAATGCTACTGTTTTTTAATCTTTATAGTATACTTAACTAAGCTGCAAGGAAATGTTGAATTGAACCGTTTTTGATGTGCTGCTGCCTGTTGGAAAATCTAGTCGTTCTCGTGTTGAATGATTAATGAACGCATTGGGAAAATAACCTTATAAAAAATATCTCCAGGTGATTGTGAACTAGTACTTAACCAGTTTGCCATTTCAGTTTCCATTTTGTTCTGTGCTCGACATTCCTGTTTTTCTCCTTCCCTCATTTTTGTATTTGTTTCCTATCTTCTTATGTTTACTGGTTTGTATTGCTACACAAGCTATAGTTGAACAAGAATCAAATCATATTTGATATTCTTGTTTGCAGTCATGTTTGAACGATTTATATAAAATAACATGATCACTAGCTTCGTTAAAATCCACTTGAGTGGATTTTATACTTGACAATTGCTTCTTTGAACGATTGATATAATTATATTACGAGTCATGTTTGGATAGCTAGTGATCATGTTATTTTGAACAAGTTTTACATAATAAAGGAGAGAACATGATGTAAAACTTGTTCCTAATAACTTTTAAGAACATGAGAATTTTTGGTTGATAACTTAGCTACATATGAAGATTTTATTGTCTGGTTGAATTCCACGAGTTTATCTCTTTGAAGAGTTCTTAAAAGATTTTATTCTTGAATTCAACTCAAATCTCTTTCTGGAATCTAGTGTAAGCTATGTTTCCGTCAACTTAATGTTGTTTTGTAAAAGAGAAAAGCTGTATCCACAGCTTAGGAAATCAATCACGATAGAAACAGAGAATCTTAGTAGTCCAGTTGGTTTTTTACTTGAATTTTCATTTTATTTTTTTCGTGAGGATACTATATCTTGTCTTGCAAGCCCCTCCCTCTCCCACGTGTATACTAAAAATCTAAAAAAAAAAAATTGAAGAAAGGAAAAAAAGAGAACGACACTTAGAAACTTAATGGGAAAATATTTAGGAAAAAACAAACATCAAAATGCTTCATATAAAGTCGTAAATATTTCTTAAAGAAAAGGTAGGTAGCCTACTCCCCACCAACAAAGAAATTCACAGTTCAAACATTTCTTCTTGTAGTTAACTCAAGAATAAGGTCGTTCAACGTTTGCCATGATGATCCACCTTCTTTGACTGCATTAATGGCTGCCTCTCCAATCTCATTCACCTTCTTCCTTGCCTCTTTACCTTTGTCACCTTCCATCAACTCCCTTATCGGCTTTTCCAAACCTTCACACTTCACGAATCCTCTCACTGACCCATCACGCGTCTCAACCTTTAGCCCAATCTTGATTTCCTCCACCACCATCCTTGCATTCAGGTGTTGATCAGCCATCATTGGCCATGCCAGTATAGGCACCTTCGCGCATATGCTCTCTATCACTGAATTCCAACCGCAGTGGCTTAGAAAACCTTCAACACTCCCGTGGTTCAAGATTTCTCTCTGATCAACCCACTCTGTCACCACCAGTCCCCTGTTTTTCACTCTGTTTTCGAACCCGTCGTCGACTTCATCTATACTTTTCCTGACTACCCACAAAAAGTTCACTTCAGATTTCTCCAACCCAATTTTGATTTCCTTGAATTGTTCAGAAGATAACTCTGCTTGGGTACCGAATGCTACGTATAAAACATGCTTCCCCTGTTCTAGCATTCCGTCAAGCCAGTTGATGTATGAAGGTTTCTCTAACCTTTGCTGTAGTGGTGCGGTCGCTGCACAAAAGGGTCCAACGCACCATGCTTTTGGACTAAACTTACTATTAAAATAGTCTACATAAACAGATTCAAGCTCATAAAAGCTGTTGACAATTAGACCATAGCTTTTAGAGGTCGCCATGGCTTCCTCCATGGCAAAATCAAAAAAGGGACCCTTCGGTTCACGCTCTCTGAAGGGTGAATCAAAGTCATTCCTTGTGAGCTTAATCCAGGGGAAATCAGGGAGTGTGAACACTTCATCATCAGACAATTCTGTTCGTAGGAGATCACTGGAGGAACGCATTAAGGACAAGGAAAAAGTGGTCATGCCATAATAGGCAAATCTTGGGATACCCAACTTGTTTGCAGAGTCCAAAGTCCATGGAAGGAAGCTGTCCGTGATCATAAAAGTAACTGGCGAAAGAGACGCTAAGGCTTGTTCGAAATTGGGTTTCATAGATTTTGTAGCGGAGGCAAATGGAACAAAAAGGGACATGGATGGGAGTTTATCAGTACTCTCAACACCTACAGGAATTCCTTCGATATTTTGAGGAAAGGGGATGTCGATAATATTGACGTTGGTGTTGGAAAGGGAGTCGGAGAAAAAAGGACGGCTTGCCGGAGTGGTGAAGACGGTGACGGAAATTCCACTGCGGAGAAGGAGACGAGCAAGGTCAAAGATAGGGATAATATGGCCTTTGGACATGAAAGGAAACAGAACAACATGAGGAGAAGCCATTGATGCTCTGCTCTTAGTGTTGGTTTGTTATTCTCATAATTCCAATTTATACAGTAGTAATACCTTTTTATAATTTATTATGACCGTTGTATTCTTGTTAGTTTGTACACATCTGGACTAATATTTATGATTAATTTTATTGGGTATGTGCTACCTTCTTCATTGACTAGTTCCATCGAGTAATTCAGCCTATTAGGATTTCAACATATGAACAAAAATGGAAAAACTATCTAATTGTACTAACATTTCTATGTATTTATTAATTAAACCTATAATTTGAAATAATTACATATTATTTCACTAATGAATAATTTCATAGTATTCGATTTCAAGGCAGGTGAGATAGTCCATGTATCAGAAACATTGGCAGAAAAGCAAGCAAGAAAGGATAGAGGCGAGCGAGAGAGTCGGATACATATGAATGCACTTGAATACAGTGTATCTAAAATAAATTATACCTATTTTTGACCTCATGTATTCGAAATATATGTATTTGGACACGCCTACATGTATCCGAAGTCCAACTTATGTTAAGATTCATATTAAAATTCGCTGAAAGGGAGTAATTTGCTCCTAAAGTAATAGGATTTGTGTTATTTGTCCAAAAATATCATCAAAAATTTTATCTTCACCTGACTATTCAAGTCAATCCTCGTTCACTGAGGCGGAATCATGTAGAGCTAAGGGTTCAACAGAAAATTATACAATTTATACATAATTAAAATTATTTTTTATGTATATATAGTTAATATTGAGTTCACTTTTTATTCATGTTTTTAATTCTTCATACTTTAAAGAGAAAATCCTAGCTCCGTCACTGGATTGATTTGAGCTAAAAATTGTTCACAATTAGACACTCGAGGGAATTCCTTTTTTAATTAAGAGCCTATTTGAACAATATATAGATGTTAAAATATGAACTCCAAATTGCTAAAACAATGTACCTATTTTTCAAGTGGAAGGAGGAGCTACATGTTTACTACAAATTTCAAACCTCTTGTTACGCAGTATCTTAAGAACAGATATATTCTTAAATTAAATCAATAACAAGAATGCAAATATAATTTAAAGGCACACAATAATTAGGTTGATACATAAACCATACTAGTAATAAAAATTCAAAAGTCGAAATCGAGTTCAAATCCAAAACAACCTCCTTCTCCTTCTCCTTCTTCTACTTCTTCTCCCTCCTCTTCCTCTTCTTCGCCTTCCTCTCTGGGGGTTCTGTGATGAGCATGTACCAGTTTTTTGGCAATTTTCCCAGCAATTTTTTTCACCATATTCCTTTTCTGATGATCAACAACTTCCTCTTTCTTATCTACATTGATTTCCTCATTAATCGCATGGGGCTCTTCAGGCTTGTTTTGAGTTACATGAATATCATCATCTCCATGTTTGTGGTGTATGTGAAGCTTCTCCTCGATCTTGTGCAGAATTCTTGACAAATTGCTAGTGGATACAAGTATGGTTTTTGAATGACAGAAAAACCTTGATTTCTATTCCTTTAAAATAAAGGAGATTATCACCTTATTTATAAGGTTTCAAGAAAATTATACATGGTAAAATATTAAATATGGCAAGTACTATATATGGTAAAAACAATTTTTAAAACTAAAAATGGAACCCTCAAAACCCGAACCCTCTACTTATTACATAAAAAACGACCTTCCGCATCTAACTGCGTTGACGAAATTCTCATCTGAGCACGTTTATCAAATATATTGACTGAAATTTATAAGTTAAAACACCTAACGACACATACTAAAAATGAAAGCCTCAAAACCCGAACCAACTATCCTATTAGATAAAAAATGACCTTTGGAGTTAATTACGCTGACGAAATTCTCATCTGAGCACGTTCACAAAAATATTGACCAAAGTCAAATTTTGGCCAAAACATAAGATTTAAAACACCTAACGGCACAAACAAAAAACGGAAGCCTCAAAGCTTGAACCAACCTTCCTGTTAGATAAAAAAAAGGACCTTTCGAAGCTAATAACACTGATAGAGTTCTAATCTGAGCACGTTTACAAAAAAACTAAACATTCATATGTAATATTACCAACTAATAATTAATATGTTGGTAAATTTTACCAATGGATTAATGATCGGTTGGTATATTACCAACTATTTTAATGATGTTAGTAATTTACTAACTACAATCTTTATTCGTCGGCAAAATTTTCAACTAATTGGATATTGGTTGGCAAGTTTACCAACAAATTACATTTCGTTACTAATTTACCAACACATTTATATTTGGTTGGTAAATTTAGCAACACAATCTTGCCGTTGGTAAATGTTTGGTTAGTAATTCATTGGTAATATGTTAATAAATTATATAAACAATTTTTTGTCATATTTACCAACCGATATATACTTCGTTGGTAATATTACCAACAAAAGGTGTGCGTTAGTAATATTTCAGTTGGTAATCCATTGATAGAATGTTGCTAAATTTGGCGCCATTTTTTCCCGCCGTATTTACCAACTAAAATACTTAGTTAGTAAGATTTTGGTTGGTAATCTGTTAGAATTTCGTTGTTAAGTTTTAAAATATAATTCAGTTAGAAATATGTTGGTAATTTGTTAGTAGAATACTAACCAACTTAAGTTGTTAGTAAAATCTGTTGGCAATTTGGGGTTTTTTTGTAGTGCCTATTTTTCAAGTGGAAGGAGGAGCTACATGTAAACATGGACATAAAAATCATAAGACGATAACATACTACAAATTTCAAACCTCATGTTAAAGTATCTTAAGAGCACATAATTTTTTATATTAAATCAATAACAAGAATGCAAATATAATTTAAAGGCACACAAAAATTGGGTTGATACGTAGATCATACTAGTAATAAAAATTCAAAAGTCAAAATCGAGTTCAAATCCAAAACAACCTCCTTCTCCTTCGGATTCTCCTTCTCCTTCTTCTACCTCTTCTCCCTCCTCTTCCTCTTCTTCGCCTTCTTCGCCTTCCTCTCTAGGGGTTCTGTGATGAGCATGTATCATTTTTTTGGCAATTTTCCCAGCAATTTTTTTCACCATATTCCTTTTCTTATGATCAACAACTTCCTCTTTCTTATCTACTTTGCTTTCCTCATTAATCACATGGGGCTCTTCAGGCTTGTTTTGAGTTACATGAATAACATCATCTCCATGTTTGTGGTGTATGTGAAGCTTCTCCTCGATCTTGTGCAGAATTCTTGACATATTGCTAGTGGATACAAGTATGGTTTTTGAATCACAGAAAAATCTTGATTTCTATTCCTTTAAAATTAACGAGATTATCACCTTATTTATAAGGTTTCAAGAAAATTATACATGGTAAAATATTAAATATGGTAAGTAGTATACATGGTAAAAACAATTTTTAAAAATCCTATATTAATAGGAGTATTATGTAATCAACTATATATGGTAAGTGTACATTGTAATTGATGGTAATTAACATGATCGACTATTTATTAATCAATGGCCGTACGTACGTCTTTCGCTTAATTGCTTAATTATAAGTTAACATACTCTTTGTTGCCTGTTTCATAAAGCGTGTGTGCCCATCGAAAAGGAAATAGCAAGCCATGTTCTATACCTTTTAAATATGGAAAACTACCTTATTAGAAGTGGATCAATACCATATATACAATTTTTATATATACTTTCAAATAATTACGTATAAATTCATATAAATTAAGAATTTTATACCATATTTTAAATTAGATTCATGAGATACATTATTCTTTTAAAAGTAACCTAAAGTAAAGCGCTTAATTCTCTCCATAATTTATGCATTCACTTCAAATCAACGCTTACTTTCTCTCACTTTGCCCTCTCCTCTATTTCTTCTTTGATGAGCCTCAGCGAAACCAATCCTCCACGACGTTGACGGTAAGTGCATTGTTGCTCACAACAACAAATCAAAATCAAAAGGTGAAGCAAACACCACTGTGGTTAGATGTCAGACCAGCCAGGAACATATATAACCGAAAAGTTTCAGTATTACCATTTTTCCTACTTCAAAGCTTATTGTTGCTCGAAAAAGATAATTGTTTGTGGAAACAATAAGCGGAGAATTACGGATGTATCTGACACATTATACGCATGTATTGAAGATTTACGCATGCATCTGACAAACTATACGCATGTATCTGGTACATTATTGATGTATCTACCACATTTTTGAGTTAAGATTATATGTATCTAGTTTTAATCAGTTTATCTGATTAAATGTATGTCGATCAAACAAAAATATGCATATATTTGGATAGGAGTTCATAAATTTGAGTTAAGAAGTCTAAATTTTGCTGACTTGCCAAAAAAAAAGGAGGACTATGATATTATTTTTTTGACGTTGTTACAAGCGTAATCTCTCCTTTATCAATGCTTTCCGTTATATTCATTAATTAGACACATTTCTTAATTAATGGTTTTCAGTTATATCACCTAATTAGGCACACTAATTGATATGTATCTCGGATACATATATTTGGAAGAGGCAGATATACGTATCTAAGATAAGAAACGTAATATTACAAACTAGTGTGATCCTAAGTAATTACTCCCTCTGTCCACTTTTATTTGCCATATCGCACTTTTCGAAAGTCAATTTGACTAATTTTCAAAGTTAAATTAGATTACATTAATTTGATATTTTAAACAAAAAATTTAGATATTCAAAAACTATACGAAAAGTACTATAAATTGTAATTTTTAGCATATTAATATGATGAAAAAATACATTGTAAAATGTTAGTCAAAGTTTATATTGTTTGACTCTAAAAAGGAAACGATGACAATTAAAAGTGGACGACTGCCGTAACTCTTAAAGTAATGAAATTGATGTAAATTACCCTTTAAATATGCAAGTTGGGACGTGACATTAGATGAATTGTCGTATTTTGTTAATTAAAATGGTGTTAAAAGAAAACCAAAGGTACATCAAGATGGGTTATGCTTATGCATTTCACTGTTGAATCTCGTTCAATTTTTTCGTATGCTTACTTTTATATATTTTAAATTTTTTCAAATGAAAATTTTAATTCCGTCATTGATTATTACCAGGAGCTATGATTGATGATTCTGATTGTTTTCTGGTTATTTTGGCTCTTCGTAATATAATGTTTCTGTCTTTGACTTTTAAACTTTGTTATTTTTAGGTTTATCACAACTTTCTTAATTAACAGCATGTCCTTTTCGTTCAATTTCTAAAAGTTTTTAAAATAGATTACGTTTTAGCCACTTGCCAACAATATTAACAACTCCCTCCCTAAGAATCATTTAATTATTTTCAACAAGCACGTTGTAAGACATTTAAATTAAGTAATATCAACTATGTTTACCAAATTTCAATAATTCACATTTGCAACGAACTTCAAATTAAAAGATATTGTAGTTGACAAGTTGTTGTTGACACTATACATTTTTCCCAAAAATAAATAAAAGGAAATAAGTATACCCTACCCTAAAGAGTATTGACTTATCAACATCCAATAAGGGTGACAAATTATATAAAGGCCCTGTTTGATCATGAATTATTCACTCTTTTTTTTTGGGGGGGGGGAGGGGAGAGGGAATCACTTAATTTATTTGGCTATGAAAATTTAAAATACGACTTAAAGTTATATTTTTGAAATTTGAAAAACAACTCAAAACTTGTTTTACTTTTTTCACTTTACTTTTGACAATTATTTATTTTCACAATTTTGCCCCATTTATTTCTTTATTTAGCTAGAAATCAAAATGTCTCAATTTATGCGTATTCTCTCTCTTTACAGATTATAAATAAGATCTCTACAATTTACTCTTTTTTCATGCTACTGATATTTTATTTGAGAGATTCAATTTTATGTTCTTTTATAAATTTATTTTTAATTTGATATTATTTTACAATAGATTAAGAAATATTCATTTTTATACTTACAAATTAAGAAAGGTCCTTAATTCATTGAGATAATTTTAGATATCACTTTTTCAGGTTTCTCTCTATAATACTCACCTCACATGTGGTTTATAATATTACGGTTACATTCCATCTTTTTTTTAATCATTCTTTAAATCTATTTAAAAATAAATTTAAATTAATTAAGACTTTTTAAAAATTACCCTTTTTATATTAATTTTTTCATATTAATTCATATTATTAATAAACATGACTTATTTAATAAATATTTAAATATAAATCAGCACAAATAAATTAATATTATAATATATATTATATTTATATACACATGTTTTTTTACCGAACAAAGATACATATTTCTTCATACTTATTTATTTTTAAAGTATTTATTAAATAAATCATATTTCAATAATATGGAATAATACGAAAACAAATTAATATAAAGAGGGACAAATTTATCAAATCATAATTAATTTATATTTATTTTAAATAGATTTAATGAAGTGAAATAGTTACAAAAATATAAAAATAAAGGAAGTAAGTGTAATGTGGTAAATCACAGGCAAAATCAAGGAGGTTTCTGAAATTATCCTTAATCCATGGTAAGAAGTTAACAGGAACAGAAAAAGAAAAGAAAAAAAGACAGCACAAATGGAAGGTATCCTAATACTCGCACAAGAAAATCATAATTCAAACATTTTCTCTTTATGTTTACTCATGAGTAAGCTCATTCAAAGTTTGCCATGATGATCCACCTTCTTTTACTGCATTAATGGCTACCTCTCCAATCTCCTTCACTTTCTTCCTTGCCTCTTTACCTTTGTCTCCTTCCATCAACTCCTTTGCTGACTTTTCCAGTCCTTCCCACTTCACGAACCCTCTTACTGACCCATCACACGTCTCGACTCTTAGTCCAATCTTGATTTTCTCCACCACCATCCTCGCATTCAGGTGTTGATCAGCCATCATTGGCCACGCCAGTATGGGAACCTTCGCGCATATGCTCTCCACCACTGAATTCCAACCGCAGTGTCTTAGAAAACCTTCAACACTCCCATGGCTCAAGATTTCTCTCTGATCAACCCACTCTGTCACCATCAGTCCCCTGTTTTTCACTCTGTTTTTGAACCCATCATCGACTTCATCTATACTTTTCTTGACTACCCACAAAAAGTTGACTTGGGATTTCTCCAACCCAATTTTGATTTCCTTGAATTGTTCAGGAGATAACTCTGCTTGGGTCCCGAATGCCATGTACAAAACTTGCTTCCCCTGTTCTAGCATTTCATCAAGCCACTTTATGTATGAAGGTTTCTCTAACCTTTGTTGTAGTGGTGCGGTCGCTGCACAAAAGGGTCCAACGCACCATGCTTTAGGACTAAACTTACTATTAAAATAGTCTACATAAACAGATTCAAGCTCATAAAAGCTGTTGACAATTAGACCATAGCTTTTAGAGGTCGCCATGGCTTGCTCCAAGGTAAGATCGAAAATGGGACCCTTCGGTTCACGCTCTCTGAAGGGTGAATCGAAGTCATTTCTAGTGAGCTTAATCCAGGGGAAATCAGGGAGTGTGAACATTTCATCATCAGACAATTCTGTTCGAAGGAGATCATGAGAGGAACGCGCTAAGGACAAGGAAAAGGTGGTCATCCCATTAAAGGCGAATCTTGGGATACTCAACTTGTTTGCAGAATCTAAAGTCCATGGGAGGAAACTATCAGTGATCATGAAAGTAACCGGCAGAAGAGAAGCTAAGGCTTGTTCAAAATTGAGTTTCATTGATTTTGTAGCGGAGGCAAATGGAACAAAAAGGGACATGGATGGAAGTTTATCAGTACTCTCAACACCTATGGGAATTCCTTCGATATTTTGAGGAAATGGGATGTCGATAATATTGACGTTGGTGTCGGAAAGGGAGTCGGAGAAAAAAGGACGGCTCGCCGGAGTGGTGAAGACGGTGACGGATAATCCACGGCGGAGAAGGAGACGAGCAAGGTCAAAGATAGGGATAATATGGCCTTTGGACATGAAAGGAAACAGAACAACATGAGGAGAAGCCATTTTTTCTATGCTCTGCTCTTGGTGTTCGTTTGTTATTCTCATAATTCCAATTTATACAGTAGTATTACCTTTTTGTAATTTATTATGACCGTTGTATTCTTGTCAGTTTGTACAGTGGAAAATTTTTATTATGTACGATGCACTATGAGGTGGCCCACAATACTTGTATTGTGCCAAGTGGAAAGTTGGGTCCCATTTCAGAAAATGGCCCAAATTTCTTTTTCTCTCTCTTCTTTTCAACTATTTTTTTTTCTTTCTTACTTCTATTTCTTTGATTTTTCTTTTTCATGAAAAATAATTGTATGAGGATCCATTCACTTTTTAACACATGGAATTGTAGGCTCAATTTGTCCTTTAAATCTGCTAAAGAAATCAATTGGAGGGAACGAGAAGACACTTTCCCTCCATAATAAGGTATTTTGATCACATCTCACCAAACAAAAGATACAATATAACTAATCACTTTCTTTCTCAGATATCTTTATCAATTCTATACCAGAAACTCTCTCATTCTAAAATATCTTTAATATTTTCTAATGCTATAATTTTTTGTACAAATTATATGTGTTTCAAATCAAGGATGGAGAATGTAGATGTTGATAAAGGAACTACCGACCAAGAAGGTAATATCTTACTTCTGTGAAATTTTCTTAATTCTAATAGAAATTCTCAATTAAATAAGATTAGCTTATGTTTTATTTATTCCTCGTATTTTGATACTTATCATCTAAAAACTGTTATTGTAGCTCACAACGTAAATGATCAAGAATATTCCACAAGAACTCATAATGTTTATAACATCAACAAAAAATTTATCTTTGAGATTGGTATGAAATTTGTCTCAGAAGAGGAATCATACAATGCATACAATTCATATGCTATGGCAAAAGGTTTTGGAATTCGAAAAGGTCCAAAGACTCATAACCGAAATAACGAAATGACAAGGTGCTTATTTTTTTGTTCTTGTCAAGGACAATCTGATAAGCTTTCTCCTTTTCAAGAAAGGAAGCGACAAAGATTAGAATATAGATGTGGTTGTTTGGCTCGTATAAAGTTTAAAATTTCAAATGGCATATGGGAAGTCTGTGAATTTAGTGATGAGCACAGTCATCCCATGATTGAAGGCAATTTAAGGCATTTCATACAATCTGGTTGAAAGCTCACAAGTTCTACTAAAAATATTTTTGGTACTATGATTGATGTTGGAATTCGCACAAAAAAGGCGGTTCGATACCTTCAAAATGAAGCAGGTGGGATTGAAAATGCAGGATTTATTGAGCAAGATGCACATAACTTTGTACAAGCACATAAGAGAAACATGATAAGTAGTGGGGATGCTCAAACTTTGATAAATCATTTTAGGCATTTGCATTCAGAGGACTCAAACTTCTTTTATTCTTTCCAAGTTGATGAATATGGTAGATTATGCAACTTCTTTTGGAGAGATAGTATATCCAGATTGCACTATGAGTGCTTTGGAGATGTAATGATTTTTGACACTACATACCGCACAAATAGATATAACATGATTTGTGCTCCATTTGTTGTTAATAATCATTGGAAAAATGTTTTTTTTGGATGTGCCTTCTTGTGTAATGAAACAACAGACTCTTTCGTTTGGTTGTTTCAAACATTTTTTAAGGGAATGGGAGGAAAAGCACCAAAAATAATTTTTACAGATCAAGCTCATGCCATGGCGCCTGCCATTAGACAAGTTTTTCCCAACACCTGTCATCGATTGTGTGAATGGCATATTGATAGAAATGCTCAAAAAAATATACCTCAACTCTATTGGAAACAGGGATTTCGAAACTATTTTGATACTCTCTTATGGAGATGCAAGTCAGAATCAGAATTTGAGGTGATATGGCAAAATATGATATGTGATTGGAACTGTGCAGATAATTCTTGGCTTCAAAAGCTATATGATTTAAGAAAGAAATGGTGTCCCGCATTTAGTCGTTCCATTTTCTCTGCGGACATTAAATCAACTCAAAGAAGTGAAAGCACAAATAGGGTCTTCACAGAAATGACATGCAAGACAATGAGTATAACTGAATTTCTAAAGCATTATGAGCAACGGACAACTGAAATGCATGACACCGAAGCAACTGAAGATTACAAATGTCAAGGAAAGCCAAAACTTTTCGTAGAAGACTGTGGGATCTTAAAGCATGCTGGTAGTGTGTACTCAAGAAGAATTTTTACAAGGTTTCAACATGAATTTTTGCAAGGGACAACCAAAAAATTGATCCATGTGGAAACTATTGGGACTTGTACTAAATATACAATTTTAAAGGGTGAGAATAATCAAACTGAAACTGTCCAGTTTAATTCTCTTGATAATTCTATCTCTTGTACCTACCAAATGTTTGAAACCATGGGTTGGTTATGTTGTCATGCACTAAGAGTTTTATTCTTTGATTTAAATTTTTCTTGTATTTCTAAGAAATACATTTTGAAAAGATGGACTAAAAATGCCAAGCATGAGTGTGGATTTGAGGAGTACACAGAAAAAAAAAAGACGTTGAAGTCGTCCAAGACAATTCGCTTAAATGGGTTGATGAAAGAGTCGTTTACTGTTATGACTTTAGCAGCAAATGATGTGGACTCCGAGGAAATTGCCATAAAATATTTGTATCTGGCAAAGGTCGAGATTATTAAACATCAAAGTGAATTGTATGTTCAAAATCATGAGAAGAATAGGAGCAAGTTCAACTCCTTTAATGATTCTGTTACATGGTGTAAGGATCAAATTTTGGATCCAATTAAGAAAAAAGACAAAGGAAATGGATATGGAAGAATGAAGTCAAAAAATGAGCAGAGGAAAAAAAAAAGCATCCCAGAGAACATTGAAAAACGGAACAGAATATCCACATGAGTACCAGTCTTTGAACACCATGCCAAGGACTTTGCCTCACAGTCAACTTCAATACCACAAGAATTCACGGTACTAAGTTTTCTTGTGATACTCTTTTCATCAAATTAAACATTTCCTATCACTATTTTGTTGCTTGATTCATCTACTAATTTTGATCCTTTTTTTAAAAAAGTAGTTGATCTACTAATTTTAATTCTTTTCTATCAAATTTACACATGCAGTTACATGGTGTTTGCATTCAAAGTCAAGATTCAAACAATCCACAAGAAAATGTTGACACCAGTGGAAAGAAAATTCAATAGAACACCTAAGCACAATAGATTTTATTTTTGAAAATTATATCTGTAATTTAGTAGTAAATATGTGTGTAGCAACTAGCAAGTGATTTTTGGTATTTTGACATTAGAAATGACATGTAAAAAGATCCTCTTCCAACAACTTATACATTCGTTTCAAATATCAATTAAATCAGACTATTTACTGATGAAAATCATTAAAGTATGGAAGAGAGAAAATTTGGAACAATGACCGGAAAAGAAAAACCAAAGAAAAAGAAGTAAAAAAAGTAAGGAAGAGAAAAAAATGTTGAAAAGAAAGAGAGAGAAAAAGGAATTTGGGTCATTTTCTGAAATGGGACCCAACTTTCCACTTGGCACAATATAAGTAGAGGCTCATACAAGAATTGTCGGCCACCTCATACTTGTGCCTCGTACATAATAAAAAAATTCATTTGTACACGTCTGAACGGAGTAATATTTATGATTAATTTTATTGGGTATGTGCCCTTCTTCATTGACTAGTTCCATCGAGTAATTCAGCCTATTAAGACTTCAACATATGAACAAAAATGGAAAAACTATATATTTATACTGACAATCATAATTATTAATTTTCCCTATAATTATGGGTCATTAAAAAAAAAGACGGAATGACCTGGGAGACTCCTATACCTGACTCTGTTTGTAAGTTAAACTCTCCTACTTATTAATTTGTCAGCCGAATTCCTAAATTCATTAGAATGCAATATTTTAAACCCCTTTTTCATCTGACTAGTGCGCGTGAAGTACAATTACTTACACGTGGAATTCCATGTCATTTTTAATGACATGTAAGAAATTACATGTTAAAAATTAAAAAAATTCAATTAAGCCACTTTTGTAATTTCTGGAAATAAGCATGTTCTTCATATTTATTCCAAATTGAACACTAAATTCATGTCAAATAGATGAAATTTTTTCCCATTTGACTTGAAAATTCAAATAAGTTCACCTACACAAATTCAACTAATCTCAATCACAATTTTGAATTAATTTTACAAATTCAAAAGACCCATTTATTATTTTTCAAGTTTTCTCTAACTTATCAATAGAGTTTTAATTTTTCAATATCCACCATTATCCTTCGTGTTAATCCATACTTGGAACTCTTTTTTTAAGCCTAATAAAACAAATAATAATCTCAATACTTTTAGGGGTCGTTTGGTAGAGTGTATTAGGAAAAATAATACATGCATTAGGTGTGTGTATTAGTAATACCTTGTTTGGTACACTTTTTTATGTCATGTATAACTAATTAATGCAGGCATTAGTTATACACTATATTGTGTATTAAGTTGTGTATTACTAATACCATGAAATTTTAGGTATTAATAATACATAGCATTTTAACACTTGCATTAGATTATATAATTACAAAACTACCCTCAAAGCCTTTTAAAAAAACACTTTCCATAGTACTTGTTTTAGAAACCTGTCATCTTCTGTACTTTGTCTATGGATATAAGGTAAACTGAATATAATATTTTTGAACAACCAGAACAATAGATTGTGCAGCAAACTAATTTTCCTATAACATACGCGAGCTAAGAGTAAAGCTACAGTACGTTGTTTCATTGAATTGTTAATTTTATTAATCAGCATTTACATAGTTTGAAAAGACCGTTCTTTACACACAATAGGTTATTTCATCTCAATTTTTGAGAGATTTTTTTTTGTCTTGCTGTCTATCATATTTTATTCATTGTCATTTTTTTGTATGCATAGTTGAAATGCAATTTGTCATATCATTATGCAAAAACAACATGAACTTTTAACTAGCTACTCTTCTGCATAGAAATGGAGTTGACACGGAAGAGGAATGGTATTTTTTTATGTTTTAGCTAAGAACCTTGTTGCAAAGGAAGTGTACAAAGAAATAAAGTGTGAAGGGTATTTTTGTAAACATATATTTTTTTAATAAAAATTATGCAAGATTTATTATTTCTAATACATCAAACCAAACAGTGTATAAGAAATAATGCAGGCATAACTAATGCAAGCACTATTAATACAAGCATTACTAATACACCATATTTTACATTGTTCTTATACACTCTACCAAACGACCCCTTAGACTAAAAAGCTAAAATTTAAAAGGGTTAAGAGAGGGGCAGATCTAAATGGTTAGGGCGGGTGGCTGATTTGTAGTGAAAAAGAAGTGTGGGTTGAGAAGGAAGTGGATGAAGGAGAGAATGAAGAGGAGGAAAGAGGGTGTGGTGGATGAAATTCTAAGAAGAAGGAGGGGGGAGGGGTTGGGTGGGAGAGGATTTGTTGAGGAAGATGGGTTTTTAATTATTTTTTTAAAATTGATTATTCATATTATAATTTAAATATTTTTAATGTAAAATACCTTATTTACTCGTTGTCAAACGCATTGTAATCACGGATTTTTTCAACTCAGCATTATCAATGTCACATAAGTTCGGTCAATGGTCAAAGAGGTTTAAAATATTGTGTCCTGATGAGTTTAGGAGTTCAGTTGGCAAATTGATAAGTAGGAGGGTCCAACTTACAAACGGAGCCAAGTACAGGGATCTCCCAACTCATTCCGCCTTCAAAAAATATTGAAAGCGGGAAAATATTTTGTGGCTGCTGGATATGAATTAAGTGATCTCCCACATATATCAAAATTTTCAACCAAGCAATTGCACTTGAAATTGAGGGGGCAATTTGAGAAGGTCAGTTGGAGGAAATTGGTGTGCAACAACATTGGCCTACCTAGATGGATTCTCATTCTACGATTGGTTGCTCTAGGCAGACTAAGTACTAGGGATAGGTTGTTTAGCTGGGGGATACAAACAACTTAGATTTGTCCTTTGTGTGAAGTAGAAAATGAAAGCATTTCTCATCTTTTTTTTGCCTGCAAAGTCTCTGCCCGGTTGTGGCAGAATCTGTTACTATGGGTTGATATCAGAGAACACGTATGTCTTGGAATGATGAACTTCAATGGGCTGTGCAACATGCTAAAGGAAGTGATTTATAGAATGATGTTAGCAGCAGCTGTCTACTTTTTGTGGAGAGAAAGGAATCTTAAAATATTTCAAAGCAAAAAACAGACCACAACCTGGCTGATCAAGCAAGTAATCCAAGGAAAGTTGTCAAACTCACTAATTGGGTTGGAAAATCACAAATCCTATCCAGTTTGAAATTTCCATACTATTGATAGTTGTGAGATTGGTTTAGTTTATGTTTTAATGTCTTGTTGCTAGGAGGTTGTTGGGGCATGATGTCCAGCAATGCTCTCTATTTGTACTGATACAAATGTTTACTTTGGTAATGAAATCAACTTAGTTACCAAAAAAAAAACCTATAATTTGAAATAATTACATATTGTTTGTGTAATGAATAATTTCTTATTAGATTTCAAGTCAAATACACCTACATATATGAATTTTTGCTATCAGATACATTGAAATATAGAGAGAGAATGGGAGAGCTGGGAGGCGGGCAAGATAGTCTATGTATCCCAATTCATGTAAATCACACTAGATACATGTGTTTGGTATACCAAATTCTTTTCTCATACATTTTGAGATACATATACACTGGCAGAAAAGCAAGCAAGATAGGATAGAGGCGAGCGAGAGAGTCGGATACATATGAATGCACTTGAATATAGTGTATCTAGAATAAATTATACCTATTTTTAACCTCGAGATATATGTATTTGGACACACCAAATACATGTATGTTAAGATTCATAATATTAAAAATTCGCTGAAAGGAAGTAATTTGCTCCTAAAGTAATAGGATTTGTGTTATTTGTCCAAAAATATCATCAAAACTTTTATCTTCACTTGACAATTCAAGTCAATCCTCATTCACTGACTTCATTCCTATTAAATTAAAATTATTCATAACGGTGGAATCAAGTAGAGATGAGGGTCCAGCAGAAAATTATACAATGTATATATAATTAAAATTATTTTTATGTATATATATAGTTAATATTGAATTATCTTCAAGTTATTCATGTTTTTAGTTCTTCATATTTCAAAGAGAAAATCCCACCTCTGTCACTAAATTGATTTGAGCTAAAAAACTGTTCACAATTAGACATTCGGGGGAATTTCTTTTTTAATTAAGAGCCTATTTGAACAATAAATAGACGACGTTAAAATATTTACTCCAATGTGCCTATTTTTCAAGTGGAAGGAGGAGCTACATGTTTACATGGACATAAAAATCATAAGACGATAACATACTACAAATTAACATCTTGTTACGAAGTATCTTAAGAGCACATAAATTTTTAAATTAAATCAATAACAAGAATGCAAATATAATTTAAAGGCACACAAAAATTGGGTTGATACGTAGATCATACTAGTAATAAAAATTCAAAAGTCAAAATCGAGTTCAAATCCAAAACAACCTCCTTCTCCTTCGGATTCTCCTTCTCCTTCTTCTACCTCTTCTCCCTCCTCTTCCTCTTCTTCGCCTTCTTCGCCTTCCTCTCTAGGGGTTCTGTGATGAGCATGTATCATTTTTTTGGCAATTTTCCCAGCAATTTTTTTCACCACATTCCTTTTCTTATGATCAACAACTTCCTCTTTCTTATCAACTTTGCTTTCCTCATTAATCACATGGGGCTCTTCAGGATTGTTTTGAGTTACATGAATATCATCATCTCCATGTTTGTGGTGTATGTGAAGCTTCTCCTCGATCTTGTGCAGAATTCTTGACATATTGCTAGTGGATACAAGTATGGTTTTTGAATCACAGAAAAATCTTGATTTCTATTCCTTTAAAATTAACGAGATTATCACCTTATTTATAAGGTTTCAAGAAAATTATACATGGTAAAATATTAAATATGGTAAGTAGTATACATGGTAAAAACAATTTTTAAAAATCCTATATTAATAGGAGTATTATGTAATCAACTATATATGGTAAGTATAGATTGTAATTGATGGTAATTAACATGATCGACTATTTATTGATCAATGACCGTACGTACGTCTTTCGCTTAATTGCTTATAAGTTGACATACTCTTTGTTGCCTGTTTCATAAAGCGTGTGTGCCCATCGAAAAGGAAATAGCAAGCCATGTTCTATACCTTTTAAATATGGAAAACTACCTTATTAGAAGTGGATCAATACCATATATACAATTTTTATATATACTTTCAAATAATTACGTATAAATTCATATAAATAAGGAATTTTATACCATATTTTAAATTAGATTCATTGAGATACATTATTCTTTTAAAATTAACCAAAAATAGAGCACTTAATTATCTACTCACTTAATTCTCTCCATAATTTATGCATTCACTTCAAATCAACGCAGTCTTTCTCTCACTTCGTCCTCTCCTCTGTTTCTTCTTTGATGAGCCTCAGCGAAACCAATCCCATGTCGTCGTTGGCGCCGCCTCATCCTTCTCTCTGACTCTGGCGACGTTGACGATAAGTGCATTGTTGCTCACAACAACAAATCAAAAGGTGAAGCAATACCACGGTGGTTAGATGTTGGACCAGCCAGGAACGTAATCGAAAAGTTTCAGTATTAGTTTGCTTACCCTTTTTTCTACTTCGAGGCTTATTGTTGCTCGAAAAAAAGAATTGTTTGTGGAAACAGTAAGTGAAGATTTATGGATATATTGACACATTATTGAGTTAAGATTATATGTATCTATTTTTTATCAGTATACTGATTTAAGTGTACATGTATTTGACAAAATGTATGCATGTATCTGACACATTATTGAGTTAAGATCATATGCACTATGCAGGGGCGGCTCTACAGCTTTGAAAAAAAGCAATTGCCTTAGGCCCCAAAATTTGAGGGGCCTCATTTTTTTTAAAAAGTAATAGGTCATAAGTATATTTTTTTTTAAAATATTGAGTATTATTTGTAGAAAATAGAAACTTTTTTATAAAAGAGCAAAGAAGTAATAGAAGTCTAACAAATTATGAATACTATGTTTCAAGAAAGATTAAATAATTGACTATAATAAACTTCATAAAAAATATATATTCAAATTTAAGGCCTCCATTCGGATTTGGCTTTAGGCCACCAATTTATTAGAGCCGCCTCTGATTATATGTATCTAGTTTTAATCAGTTTATTTGATTAAATGTATATGGATCTGACAAAATATATGCATGTATTTGGATAGGAGTTCATAAATTTGAGTTAAGAAGTTTAAACTTTGTTAAATTGCCAAAAAAAAAAAAAAGGATTATGAATTTCTTTTAGAGGTATTGATATGTCCTATCCTCTAAAGTCTTTCAGCTATATTCATTAATTAGACACATTCTTTAATTAATAATGGTTTTCGGTTATATCCCCTAATTAGACATGCTAATTAATTTGTATCTCGAATACATGTATTTGAATAAATATGATAAAAAAAAATATATAATATTGCAAACTACTGTGAATATAAATAATTAACTCTTAAAATAATGAAATTGGGGTAAATTACCCTTTAAATATTGCAAGTTGGGACGTTACAATAGATGAATAATTGTATTTTGTTAATTAAAATGATGCTAAAAGAAAACCAAGGGTATATCAAGATGGGTTATGCTTATGCATTTCACCGTTGAATCTCGTTAGACTTTTTCGTATACTTATACTTCTATATACTTTGAATTTTCTTAATGAAAATTCGAATTCCATCATTAATGATTAGCAGGATCTATGATTGATGATTCTGATTGTTTTCTGGTTATTTGGGTTCTTCATAATATAATGTTTCTTCTACCTTTGACTTTTGAACTTTGTTAATTTTAGGTTTTTTCATTAGATGAGAAGAACAACTTTTTGAATCAACAGAATGTCCTTTTCGTTCAATTTCTAAAAGTTTTTAAAGTGGATTACGTTTTAGCCACTTGCCAACAATATTAGCAACTCCCTCCCTAAGAATCATTTAATTATTTTCAACAGGCACGTTGTAAGACATTTAAATTAAGTAATATCAACTATGTTTACCAAATTTCAATAATTCACAGGTTCAACAACTTCAAATAAAAAGATATTGTAGTTGACAAGTTGTTGTTGACACTATAAAAAAAATTCCAAAAATAAGTATAAGGAAATAAGTATTCCCTTTAAACATTGCAAATTGTGAGACTTATCAACATCCAAAATAAGAGTGACAACTTATATAAAGACCCTTTTTTATCATGAATTATTCACTCTTTTTAGAAAAAAAAAATCACTTAATTTATTTGGCTATGAAAATTTAAAATACGACTTATAGTTATATTTGAAATTTGAAAAACAAACTCAAAACTTGTTTGCCCTCACTTTTTTCAATTTACTTTTTGAAATTATTTATTTTCACATTTTTGCCCCATTTAATTCTTTAGTTAGCTAGAAATCAAAATGTTTCAATTTCTACGTATTATTTCTCTTTACAAATTAAAAATAAGATCTCTACCATTTTACTCTTATTTCATGTTACTGATATTTTATTTGAGAGATTCAATTTTTTAGTCTTTTATAAATTTATTTTAAATTTGATTATTTATTTTTTTACAATAGATTAAGAAATATTCATTTTTATACTTAAGAAAATAAAAAAGGTCCTTAATTCATTCCAATTAATTTTAGAGACCTCTTTTTCATGTTTCTCTCTATAACACTCACATTTCTTGTAGTTTATAGTACGCTTACATTCCTTATTTTGTTTTTTTTTGTAATCATTCTTTAAATTTAAATCAATCATGACTTTTTAAAATTTATCCTTTTTATATTAATTTTTCATATTAATGCATATTATTATTTAATAAATATTTTAAATATAAATCAACACAAATAAATTAATATTATAATATATATATATTATATGTATATACACATGTTTTTTTTACCAAACAAAGATACATATTTCTTCAAACTGATTTATTTTAAAGTATTTATTAAATAAATCATTTTTCAATAATATGGAATAATATGAAAGAAATTAATATAAAGAGGGACATATTGTCAAATCATAATTTATTTATATTTATTTAAATAATTTAATGAAGTGAAATAGTTACAAAATATAAAAATAAAAGAAGTAAGTGTAATGTGGTAAATCACCGGCAAAACCTTAAAGGAAGATTTCTGAAATTATCCTTCATCCATGTAACAAGTTAACGGTATCCTACTACTCGCACAAGAAAATCATACTAATTCAAACATTTTTTCTTTCAGTTAACTCATGAATAAGCTCATTCAACGTTTGCCATGATGATCCACCTTCTTTTACTGCATTAATGGCTGCCTCTCCAATCTCCTTCACTTTCTTCCTTGCCTCTTTACCTTTCTCTCCTTCCATCAACTCCCTTATCGGCTTTTCCAGACCTTCCCACTTCACAAACCCTCTCACGTCTCGACTCTTAGTCCAATCTTGATTTCCTCCACCACCATCATCCTCGCATTCAGGTGTTGATCAACCATCATTGGCCATGCCGCGCATATGCTCTCCACCACTGAATTCCAATCGCAGCTGCTTAGAAAACCTTCAACGCTCCCGTGGTTCAAGATTTCTCTCTGATCAACCCACTCTGTTACCATCAGTCCCCTGTTTTTTACTCTGTGTTCAAACCAGATTCACTCTAAAACAGCACTAGAATCACACCAAAAACAACATGAGGAAAGCACCAAAATTGCAGCTAAAAAGCATCGAAACAGCTCCAAAATTGCACCTTAACTACACTATGAGTTGATTCTCTGATGCACCTAAACAACATAGTTACTTTCAAAAAAAAATTACGTTTTTTATGTAATTCTGAATATATGATTTGATTTGGAGAAGAAACGGAAGAGACAAATCAGAAGTCTGATTCAATAAGGAATGTGAAGGGACGAGCAAAACTGAATTTTGGGGAAACTTTCTCACGTGCACTGTTAAAAATTAGACGAATGTTTGAGAGAGTACTAAAAGTGCACCAATTCTTAAAACATGAAGGAGTATTAGTGCTCCATGTTAAAAGACAAGTATTACTTTAAGTCCACATAAACAGAGTCGAGCTCGTCAAAGTTGTTCACAATTAGTCAACCGGTGGGGAAATTCCTATTTCAAGTGCCTAATTGAACAATACATGTTAAAATATCAACTCTGAATCGTAAGAATAATGTGCCTATTTTTCAAGTGGAAGGAGCTACAGACTACATGTTTACATGCACATAAAACCAGATGATGATAATAACATATAGTATTACAAATTTCAAACCACCCGTTGATCGAGAGGTATTTTAAGAACAAATATATTTTTACATCAATAAACAGGAATGCAAATGTAAAGGCACACAACAATTGGGTTGATAATACTTAAATCATACTAATAATAAAAATTCAGAAGTCGAAATCGAGTTCAAATTCAAAACCACCTTCTTCTGCTTCTTCCATTTCTACCTCTTCTCCCTCCTCCGCCTCTTCCTCTTCCTCTTCCTCTCCTTCGTAGCCTTCCTCTCTGGAGTTTTTGTTATGACCATGTAACAATTTTTTGGCAATTTTCCCAACTTTTTTCACCAAATTCCTTTTCTTATGATCATCAACGTCGTCCTCTTTCTTATCTACATTGCTTTCATCCTTAATCACAGGGATTTCTTGTGGCTTGTTTTGAGCTGCAGGAATATTATCATCTCCATGCTTGTGGTGTATGTGAAGCTTCTCCTCGATTTTGTGCAAAATTCTTGACATATTGCTAATCTATATGATCAAATTGTTAATGCAAAGTGGTGAAAACAGAAGTGAATATGATAATTGGATACAAGTATGGTCTCCTATTTATTCATGTATGACCGTACGGCTTTCGCTTAATAGCTTAGTTGACATAGTCTTCGTTGCCTGCTTCAATTAGCGTGTCTGGTCATGGAAAAGGAAAAAGCAAACCATGTTCTATATATAACCTTTAAATAATTGCAAGTTGAAATTAGATGAATTATTGTATTTTGTTAATTAATTAATGGTCTTAAAAGAAAACCAAAGGTATACCAACATGGGTTGTGGTGCACTGGTGGGAGTGTTTCACCTCTAACCAGAGGTCTCGGGTTCAAGCCCTGGATATAGAGAAAATCCTATTGGGAGCGCCACCCCCGAATGAGTCAGCGCGATCCGGATTTAGTCGGAGTTCCAATGTGAGCTCCGGACACTGGATGGGAAACCAAAAAAAAAAAGTTGGGTTATGCTTATGCATTTCACTGTTGTTGTTACCAGGAATTGAGTCAGATAGTTCACCCGAATCTTATTCGTCAGAAAAGTACACTATTTGTATATATTAGATATATTGAATTCTGTTGGGTTTTTTGGTATGTTGACTTTTTTTTATATTGGTTGTTATCAGATGCTAATTAGGATTGATGTTTCTGGTTATTTTGGTTCTTTCATAGTAATATAATGTTTCTAACCTTTGACATTTGAGCTTTGTTATTTTTAGGTTATCTTTTTATTAGAAGAGAATCATAATTTGTTTAAACTAGCAGAATGTCCCTGTCGTTTCAATTTCTAGTTTTTAAAATGGACTACGTTTTAGCCACTTGTCAATTATAATACTCCCTAAGCATCATTTAATTATTTTTTACAAGCACGTTTTAAGACATTTAATTATGTAATAGCAACTACGTTTACCAAATTTCAATAATTCACATTTGAGAGTCCTGTGACCACTTCAAATAATAAAAAATAAGTCTTTTGTCTACAACTCTACATAAGTAAATTAAAGATTGTCCACTTGTGTTTCCTGTGAAAAGAAATAGACCAGAGTCAAGAACTACGTGTTTGACTGATTCGGGCTGCTCAAAAAGATATTTAAATAAGCAACTTGTTATGTGAAATTGATAAGTGGGTCTTCTTTTAATAAAATAATAAATGTTATTGTGACATTTTAATAAAAACATATCATGTCACATAATATATCGTGTTATGTTTATTGATGGATATTATATTTGTGTTGTGGTAGAATTTGGTCATTAATAGTTAGTAACTTTTGTAACCTCTAAATCTTCATTTCATCCATTATTCTACTCATTGATTATATGAAAGACTTCTTTACGTATAAATAATGGTGCATCTTCCTTTGTGTTGGGTAGGAGATGAAATATGTTAAGCGTGAAAAAATATTATAGTATGTAGTAGTGAAAGAGAGAGTTGTGACTAAGAAAAAAATATTCTAGGTCTTCAATTATATTCACTATATAAAAGAGAGTATTTATATGTTGAAAGAATTTGTTCTGTGTTATAGAGCTTTGAACTTTTCAACTAATCCGGTGTTACTTGAGTAGTATGACGTTGTTGGGTTGTTATATCCTAGAAGGGATAACCGGACAAGTCAAGAGATATATTGCTGAATCGGTACGATGTAGATTATATAGCAGTGGACTTGAATCTTCTTTAAGAAAGCAAGATATCTGTGCTTTAGTCCGAATGATAATTTATTTATTTTTTATTCATTTTATTTTTAACTATATTTATTATATTTGTGATAAATTACACCAACAATACAGTCATAAATTTTTCTGCAGTTAGCACGATTGTGAAGGAACCGTCACATTTATGATAATTATTTATTTAAAGATAGATTTAAAGAAATCTTTGAAAAGATAATTTAATTATACAAATATAGGTTGGGATAATTAAATTTAGAGGGTCTGCAATACATAGTTGAAATTCTGATGCTGTCCCACGGTTTGGGGTCCAAAGTTTATTTGCTGTCGTAACAATACTACTAGAAAATTAAAATTATTCAGAATTATGATGTGACAGATTCCTTCGGTTAATTAGAAATTTTAGATTTAAACTTTTCTCCACAAATAAACAGAATGAACTTAGCCGTGCAGTTGGAGCTTCTGTGCCAGTTCAATTTGTTTTGGGCTATAGAGGAAATATTCTTATATCAATAAACAAGAACGCAAATATAAAAGGCACACAACAATTGGGCTGATACCTAAACCATAATACGAGTAATAAAAATTCAAAAGTCGAAATCGACTTCAAATTCAAAACCACCTTCTTCCATTTCTACTTCTTCTCCCTCCTCCGCGGCCTCTTCCTCCTCCTCTCCTTCGTAGCCTTCCTCCCTGGAGGTTTTGTTATGACCCTGTAACAATTTTTTGGCAATTTTCCCTACTTTTTTCACCAAATGCCTTTTCTTATGATCATCAACGTCCTCCTTTTTATCTACATTGCTTTCCTCATTAATCACAGTGATTTCTTGTGGCTTGTTTTGCGCTGCAGGAATATCATCATCTCCATGTTTGTGGTGTATGTGAAGCTTCTCCTCAATTTTGTGCAAAATTCTTGACATATTGCTTGTCTGTATTGTATGATCAAATAGTTATTGCAGTAAAAATATATAGATGTGAATATGATAATTCGATACAAGTATGGTCTCCTCCTATTTATTGATGAATGACTGTACGGCTTTTGCTTACTTGACAGTTGACATAGTCTTCGTTGCCTGCTTCAAGGAATTGAAATAGCAAACCATGTTCTATACCCACTTTAAATAATTGCAAGTTGCAACGTGACATTAGATCAAGTATCCTATTTTGTTAATCAATGGTACTAAAAGAAAACCAAAGGTAATATATCAAGATGGGTTATGCTTATGTATTTTAACCATAAAAGATTTTACGATCTTCGTCAAATAATACTTATCAATTTTATGAAATCAATAGATAATTTTACACTTAGTTCCTCATTTATCCTTATTATTAATTATAGTTATTTCTCTATTAGTACTTTTTTTAAGACATTGTATTTATTATATTAAAATGGTGATATGATAAAATTATCATTCTATTTATAGTTTTTTAAAAGTGTGCAAAGTCAATAGTTTGACAAGTGAAGTCGGAGAAAGTAATTTTTTTTATCTAAAACTCTGGATAAATATTTAGTAAAGATTGTCTACTTGCATCTTCCACAAAGAAATAGACCACGTACAGTCAAGAACTACGGGTTTGACTGATTCAGGGGCTGCACAAAAATATCTAAATAAGCAACTTGTTATTGTGAAATTGATAAGTGCGTCTTGTTTTAATTAATATATTAAATAAATTTGTTCGTGCTTATCGTGATTGTAAAGGAACCGTCACATGTAATTTAGTAACGCCTAAGATTAAAATACTGAAATATTTTACAAAAACTAGAGATAGACTTAAAAGTCTTTCAGAAGATAATTAATTTAAGCATACAAATATATAAGTTCAAACAAAAGGTGACATAATTTATTTAAATTTTAAACTCAAACTGATAGTCTATTTCACTATGCTTTCAAAATTAGTTTATTTTGAAAACTGTTTTTTATAAATGTACTGTTCAAAAAAATTGACTAATTTAACATTTCTTTTCGAGTTTTTTTTTTTTTAACAAAGAAAGAAAAGCATGTTTTTTTGGGGGAAACTTACCATTTGGAGGAAGAAGTTGCAAAAATGGAAATTGAGGACAGAAAGAGAAAAGTTAAAAGCAAATGAAGAGGAAAATCTATAAAATACCTTCCATGATAAATATGTAGTATAGTATCTTATTTGGTCGAAGAAAGGCACTCGTTTGGTAAAGTTCAAGAGACAATATT